TGACGCAGAGGGCGGCGCGCAGCGGGGGCGTCACGGTGGGCGGTGCGACTGCTGGAGGGGGGCGTGGCCGGCGTTGCCGTGGAGACCAAGACGCCTCCCGCCCCGAGGCGGCATGGCCGAGGTGGGGGGGCGGGGGGGACTGGGGTGAACTGGGGTGAACTGGGGCATGATGGGGTGTATTGGGGTGTACGTGGATGTGCTGGGGTGTGCTGGGGAGTACTGGGCTGTGCTAGAGCGGTACTGGGGTGTACTGGGGCATGATGGGGTGTACTGGGGAGCGCTGGGGCACGATGGGGTGTAGTGGGATGAGCTGGGGTACATTGGGATGTGGTGAGTTGGGATGTGCTGGGGTGTGCTGGGGTATACTGGGGTGTACTGGGGTGTGCTGGGGCATGCTGGGGTGTACTGGGGTGTGCTGCAGTATACTGGGATGTGCTGGGGTGTACTGGGATGAGCTGGGGTGTACCAGGATGTGGTGGGGTGCACTGGGGTATACTGGGGTGTACCAGGATGAGCTGGGGTACATTGGGGTGTGGTGAGTTGGGATGCATTGAGGTGTACTGGGATGTGCTGGGATGTGCTGGGGTGTACTGGGGCATGCTGGGCTATACTGGGGCATGCTGGGGCATGCTGGGGTGTACTGGGGTGTATTGGGATGCCCTGGGCCGGGTTGGGATGAGCTGGGATGCACTGGGGTATATCAGGGTGTGCTGGGATATGCTGGGATGAGCTGGGGCGTGCTGTGGTGTATTGGGATGTACTGGGGTGTGCTGGGATGAGCTGGGCTGTGCTGGGGTGTATTGGGATGTACTGGGGTGTGCTGGGATGAGCTGCTGTGTATCAGGGTGTGCTGGGGTGGGTTGGGGTGTACTGGTGTATATTGGGGTGCAGTGGGGCATGCTGGGGTGTACTGGTGTGTGCTGGGATGTGCTGGGATGAGCTGGTGTGTATCAGGGCATGATGGGTGGATTGGGGTGTATGGGTGTTTATTGGGGTGTACTGGGCTGAGCTGGGGAGTGTTGGGGCATGCTGGGGTGGATTGGGATGTACTGGGGTGTACTGGGATGAGCTGCTGTGTATCAGGGTGTGCTGGGGTGGATTGGGGTGTACTGCTGTGTATTGGGGTGAGCTGGGGGGTACTGGGATGTGCTGGGGCATGCTGGGGTGGATGGGGATGTACTGGAGTGGGTTGGGATGAGTTGGGATGCAGTGGGGTATATCAGGGTGTACTGGGATGTGCTGGGGTGCACTGGGATGAGCTGGGGTGTGTTGGGGCATGCTGGGGTGGATTGGGATGTATTGGGCTGTACTGGGATGAGCTCATATGTATCAGGGCATGCTGAGGTGGATTGGGGTGTACGGGTGTTTATTGGGGTGTACTGGGATGAGCTGGGGTGTGTTGGGGAGTGCTGGGGTGGATTGGGATGTACTGGAGTGGGTTGGGATGAGTTGGGATGCACTGGGTTATATCAGGGTGTACTGGGATGTGCTGGGCTGAGCTGGGGAGTGTTGGGGCATGCTGGGGGGCATTGGGGCGTACCGGGGTGTACTGGGATGTGCTGGGGCATGCTGGGGTGGATTGGGATGTACTGGAGTGGACTGGGATGCACTGGGGTATATCAGGGTGTACTGGGATGAGCTCGTGTGTATCAGGGCGTGCTGGGGTGGATTGGGTGTACGGGTGTTTATTGGGATGCGCTGGGGTGCACTGGGGTGTGCTGGGATGCGCCGGGGCACGGGGGGCACGGGGACGCCGTGCCAGAGCCGCCCCCGCCGTGGGACGGGGCACGGGGGCTCCCCCCG